GTGGACTCGACCTTCCATCCTTCTGAGGTCAATAAAATGAAGATCCAGACTGTTGGGGGAATATACTGACTCTATAAACTGCTTATAGAGGGCTGTAAAGCACTGTGAAGTGGTATATAACTCTAAATACTATTGCTATTGCTAAATGTCTTTTTTTTAATATGTTAAGAGAAAGCACATCTAAATCTGGCACTGGGAATGTCAAGATTATAAGCAGAATCCAAAGACAAAACTCTGAAACAATAAAAATAAAATTAGAAAATCATAAACAAGAATAAATTAGCTTTTGATTTGCTTTCCTGGTTTACAAATACAATTGCTCATCTAATTGGCAGTTTTAGAGTTTTATTAGTATTATTTTCATACATGTTTTCCATCATTTACATATTAATTCAGACGTATAGATATTTTTTTTCTTCTCAACCATTGTAGAGAAACTACAGAAAAACACTATTTCCTAGAATGTTCTGTGTGCTCTTATCTGTTTTTAAATTTTAGGATAGTTCGGGATATTTTTGTAAGATCTCACTTGCCTTATGCAGAACAATATATCTGTGGATATAATTATCTTCCATTTGTAATTAGGAGATCTGGAGAAATCCATCACAAGGATAATTATATTATCCTTTCCAAATAATATCATTATCATATGCTGAATTAGGAATATATCCATAGAGTTCACTTCAAAATATTGCATTCACTAAAATTTTAGAATTACTGAAGATTATGTATAAAAATATACATCTGGAACAGAGGTGGTATTCATCAGGTTCTGACCAGTTCTGGAGAACCGGTAGCAGAAATTTTGAGTAGTTTGGAGAACCAGCAAATACCACCTCTGACTGGAGATTTTACAGTATCCTTCCCCGGCCACACCCACCAAGCCAGGCCCACAGAACCAGTAGTAAAAAAAATTGAATCCCACCACTGATCTGGAAGATTGTTAAGTAAACAATTATTGTAAAAGGATATATGGTATATATACCAGATGGCAAGTAGTCTTGTTAGCCATGCAGCCATTATGATTCAGTCAAAATTTTTGCCAGATTTTATGGGCACAACAGATGTCACACACAAACATTCCCTCCTCCAAACTGCAAAGCCTTAATTTCACCATCACAGTTGCCATATTGACTTTCTTGATCAAACCCTGCAGATATCCCTGGAGATGTCATTTTTCACTATATAGACCTGTTTTTAGTAGTCTGCAGCCTTTTTGACTTCTTTGGCCTTTTAGGACTAAGACAATATTAGTGTTCTGTCATAGTAATTTAGAATGTAATATCTAATTCTCAGGTGCAAGCCATGGCCATGTTGGAGAATTTACATAACAAGTTTGTCACATGCAAATTGGCTACAGAGAAATTCAGTGAAGGAAGCCAATATCTCCATAAATAATTGTTTCCACTATCATATTACTCATATTGTTAGGAAGAGTTTTCCTAAGATTTTTTTTAAATTACACCAAATTATCAAATAAGCAAGTGAACATAATGACCACCACAAAAAAAAAAGTCATAAAATTGGATCTGGTTATCTGGTGATCCACTTCAGCAACCTCAAAATTTATGAACATAACTCCACACTCAATTACAGTCGTAAGTCGAGAACTGCTTGTATATAAATAAAGAGCAAACTCTACCGTTACTTGCACTGATGCTGTTACCTAGTTGACTAATGAAACATTTCCAAGCAAGCAACAAAGCTCAAAGAGCACCAAAGACTCTGTGAAGAAAATGAACAGAATCTGCCATGCAATCCCATTATCTCCCAAGCAGTCAACTTGTGCCTAGAATGGTTAAGGTTAAAAATAATTTGGGCTGAAACAAATAACATTTTCACATCAAAAAGGGAGAATCTCTTGTAAAGGAAAGAGGAGATTGAAATGTGCTATGGAGAGAGCAAGGTAGGAGCTGCAGTTAGATTGGGAATAGGCAAAAAACATGGCTGGCAAACCAGATGGGGCTTAGACAGTGTTAGCTGTTGAAAATATACGAATTTAGAATGGACTAAAGACCATTGAAGAGGGTTCCTGACTGGAGAAGAACGACAACAAAGCTTCAAGGGTTTGATGCACCTTGCATAGAATTCCTGAAGGAAAGAGAGGATCTTGAGATCAATAAATTTATCTGAATCCCTTGATTAATTCTAAAGATGACTGAATATAGCTACCTTACTGACTTCAAAAGAAGAATCTTTTTTGCAGACAGAGAAATAATCATTGAATGGAAGAGTGGTGAGAGTCATAAAGTGATCAGCTTTTAGTACATTCTTTATTTTTGGCAGTTAAGCTAAGAAAAGGAAAGGGGATTTGAACTTCTGTTTTTTTAATTTGCTTTAGCAGCATGCCATTTCCAGAACTATATAACTATAAAAGTAAACCTTCCAGGAAAAAAACCCTTTTTATTTTGTAATGTTATAAAGAAGAAAGAAATGAATTGGTCCACAAGATAGTTATGGTGCACTGGATACTTACTTGCTTTTCACTTTAAATTCATGGAATATTCATAACTTTAAGTGTGCCATCTTTTAAGATGATTCAAATGTAGTTTTATATCCCACCCTAGTCTTTCCTTTTCAAACCTAAATATGTATGTTTGCTCATAGTCCCAAAATTCAAAGACTGTAGTGTGAAGTCAATATATCCCATTCCTGGAACCATAAATATTCAATTGGAGTTGCTACGGACATGTTTTAATACCTGTATAGTCATTCCAAGGATGACGCCATATTTGACTACAAATAACACAATTAATGTAATTTTTCATTTGAATCCACATGAAGAAAATGAAGTATGTTGTCAGATTCTTGTCTGGAGATAATTGTTTAATATATAGCATAAAATAAGGACTCTCAGATCGATATGGAGGATTTCCCCATTTGGCTCTACTGGCTCTGAAATTCACGAGTGCTTCTCTGCTAAATAAACTTAAACTTACTTCCTTGACTCTAACCACCGTTAAATCAAAGTAGGTAAGACAAACTTATCTAAGAATTTGGACAGTTTAAAAGGCACAGAGGCTAGTTGATGTATCATACTATGTATGAGATGGTTAGTTTGATTTTTGCTTTGTCATTGTGAATGTTGTGCTTTGTAAAGCATAGTTTATAGTATAGCAGTATATGTGACTCACATCACTGTATCATATTCAATAAACCATGACTTAAAATCATGAGTTAATGTTAAGTGTAAACTTAAGTTGCTTTGACCCTTTGGGACACATATGCAAAGAGCTGGCAATTCCTAGCATCATCAAGAAAACTCATGATATTAAGTCCACATTGTCTACTTTTCCATAATAAAAGCCTCTAATCCCATCCCCAAAGTGTGTTTCTGGAGATGTGTCAAAATGTGGTTTTTCCAACTGATATAAAACTTACATACACGCAGACAAACACACTCCTCCTTTAAGGATAGCCAATCTGTTTCAGTTTGAGAACTGCTTTTGCTGGGACATAGATATGTGACATCTGCAGCAGGCAACGAGAATAAAAACGAGAAATAATATATAAGGACAGGATGCAATTTTTCAAGTACTCTGGATGTTCCAAAAATTATTGTAATGCTTTAAACTTTTCCTTAAATTTAATATTGGTGCCATGTTAACATAATAGTTTCATTTACATACCACGTTGGACAAATAGCTTCCAGGTGCATTGGTGTGGGCACAGATGTTTGGTTTGTATTCAGAACAAAACATTTTGAATTGGCTGTGTTCCAAATGAACAGAATTTGAAAAGTCACACAAGTAAGTGGGATGGCAGGTCATGTGGAGTGTTACCTACTGTTCAGCATGCTGAAAAATTGGGCAGCTTTTGACAAAAACGTTTATGAAAACATTCTTTAAAATCCTCATAGGAAACAATAGAAGTAATTGTTTCCTAAGGGAACTTTAAAAACTATAATTACAAAATAAAGTGATTTGTGCTAGGCAACTAATGTTTCCATTATGTGGTAGTCGATAACATTTTAGCTAGAATATGTAATATGTATATTGACGGTTTTATAAGATTGTTATCTGGTTTTCTAACAGCACAACTATCCCTATATTTTTATATGTTTCTTGAAACACTTTTACAGATTTAAAGTGGGTCAGATAATGTGACTTGATTAATAAAACAGGAAAAAGCCTTTGCACATTTTTACTCATGTACAAAGTACACTTGACACATGCTGCAGTAGAGAACAATGGCTATTACTTAAGCAGCTTTTTACATTTACTTATTACTTATTACTAAACAGCCAATACCCCGTTGGGTCATCATTGCAGAGATATTTTCTTATTTAAACAGAAAAAAACAGAATGATCCAGGACAGGCAAAAAAGCAGTGAGAGCAGGAGTGACTTCCTGCCACCCTCCATATTGAGTTTTTTCTATAGGAATCTGCAGGAAGCATCTTTCCTTTCACTTCCTAGCAAGAAGTAAGTGACTGGTACTGGCTGGGAAGGGAACAAGGGATTATGAGACTTGCTAGGAAACTGGCACATATTGTTGAAAATAAAGATCATGTTACCACAGTAGCAGCGGGTAGGATTGAAACAATCAAAACTTTACCAAATTTCATTCCCTCAGAGTCTTGGGTCCTGGATTTTGGACACAATTTATATGTAAAGTACTTGGTTCAAAAATGTTGTTCTAGAACAGGGGTGTCAAACTCTCAGCCTGCAGGCCAGATGTGTCACACCCCACCCAATTTAGTGAAGGGTTGGAAGTCCCGATACATCACGTGATGCCACTGGGTTGACACGAGTTTGACATCCCTATTCTAGAAGGAAGCATTTTGCCCAGTTAAAGGTCATGACAAGAGTTTTAGTAGTATATAGTAGACTAAATTACTTGATTGTCATCTTGTTTATTGGAGTTTAATATTTTAAAAAAATATGAGCTGATTTGTGGATCATGAAATGAATGCCCAGTTTGCTATATTTACTTTGTCACAACTAGTACTCGCTCATCTACCTTAACCTGGGTAATAATTTTGTTTCTCTCTCATTTCAGTTGTTCGAGTTCATGAACTTTTTGGCTGAGAATGTAATCTTTTGCTATATGGGACTAGCACTGTTTACATTCCAAAATCATATTTTCAATGCTCTATTTATATTTGGAGCATTTGTATCCTTTGTTCAAGTAACAGGAAATGTATAGTACAGGAAACATATGGAATAAGGTGTTTATTTTCATGATGAACACGTAAATTGTATAATTGGAGATATAAACTAGAATACAGAGATCTCAATGCATATATAGAATGTTCCTGCTATTTATTTTTTTCTGTGCAAGAATAGCCAATTCCTTCTCATACAATTCCTGGGAAGTGAAGATATACTCTTGGCTTTACTGCTGACATCAGACATATTACATGTCCCATGTTTGAAGACCACTGTTGAAAGCATGGTCATTTAATAAACTGAAACATGAACAACTGCTTGAACAGAGACATCTCTAAGTTTAAAACATTAATGATATATATGTGCTATTCCAATAATATGAATTTCATTACTATTATTATTATTATTAATTATGTGTCATTGAGTCATTGCTGACTTTTAGTGATCACATAAATTTTCTCCATGATGATCTGACTTAACTTGATATTTAGGTCTCCTAATGGTGTATTCATCACCTCTGTTATTGAGTTTATCCATCTTGCTGTTAGTCATCCTCTTCTTCCCTTTCTTTCCATCCTTCCCAGAATTAGAACTTTCTGCAGAGAGATAGGTCTTCACCTAATGTGTCCAAAGTAGGATAAATTGAGCCTAGTCGTTTGAGCCTTGAGTGAGAACACTGGATTAATTTGTTCAATGAGCTGTTTTTGTTGGTTGGTTTTGTTAGCTGTCCATGGTATTCTCAGGAGTCTTTTCCTAATACCAAAGTTCAAAAGCATCAATACTCTTTCTTCATGTTTCTTCAAAGTCCAACTTTTGCTTTAATAGAATGCCACAGAGAATACCATAGTTTGCACAGCTCTGGTCTTTGTAGGTATAGACACACTACTGCATTTAAATGCCTTTTCTAAAGCCTTCATGGTGGCTCTACCAATAATTAGCTTTTGGTGTATTTTTTGACTGTTCCTTTACTAGTGATAGTTAATCCTAAAAACCAGAAGCTATCTACCAATTAAATATCTTTACTAATAATTCTAAACCTAGTTCTTCTATCAGTTGTTGTTAGTGGGGTCGTCTTTATGTTTAATTTTAGTCCCACTTTTTTTCATTTTGCTCCTTAACTTTTATTACTAGAATTTGCTGATTCTTTGCATTTTTGGCTATCAGGGTACTGTCAACAGCATGACACATATTATTGATATTTCTTCCTTATTCTAATACCATCCCATCTTCTTTCAATCCATCTTCTCTTAATATATTCAGTATATAGAGAATGAATATATATGGAGTGAGTATATACCCTTGTTTCACTTATTTGTCAAGCTAGAACTAGTTTGTTTAACCATGTTCTGTCTGTACTGTGCATCCCTGACCTGTATATAAATTTGTCATTAGGGCAATGATATGTTTTTTTACCATTTTTCTGAGCCTATTCTACAGCTTGATGTAATCAACAAAATCAAAGCCCTTTTTATAATCAATAAAGCACTTAGTGACTTCCTTTTGATATCCTTTGGCTTTCTCATTTGTCCAACATACATCAGCAAAAACATCCCATGTTTCTTGACCTTTTCTAAAGGCATTTGAAAATCTTGTCCCTCTTTTTTCATGTAGAACTTTAATCTGCATTGAATGAAGTATTATTTCACTTGCATTTGAGATTAAGAATATCATATAATAATTTGTATGCCCTGTTAAATCTGCCCTCACTCTGCCTCCATCTCTTTTTTTTTTAATGTAGGTTGAACTCTTCCAATCTGTTGGTTCTTGTGTCATTCTCAGATTTTCTGGCTTAACTTGGTTAGACTATTTACTGATTTTTCTTATTTTTTATTAATATTGGGAGTTTTTTTAATCTCATCTTTTTATATATCGCTCAAGACAGCCAACATACTGTATCTAATACTCCTATCTCCTATTCACAGCAATCATATAAAGTGTGTTGGGCTGAGACAGAATGGTCCAAAATCACCCAGCTGGCTTTCAGGCCTAAGGGAGGCCTAGAACTCACAGCCTACTGGTTTTTGGTTTTTATAATATTTTTTTTATTTTTAAGTTTTAAAAATATCTATTTTGGTGAACAATATGGTTCCAGGTTTTTACATTTCAATGCCAGCATGAACTTAGTTACATATTTATCTTTCATATTCAATTTCATATCATATCATTACTTTTTCCATTTTCCTGTAAGTTTTCTCAAATACTCTTATATTAACCACACTTATTTTATCCATTTTCAATTATTTAATTTTTCTTTAAGTATTCTCATGTCTTTTTTTGTAATATTTATCTAAAATTCTAATTGGGACCCTCTGATGAGAGAGCACAAAGCGAAACCTCACACAATTACAGATTTCACTCCAACGCGACAGGAAGACAACTAGAGGTCACCACAACCTCCTGGTTTTCTTAACTACTACATCAATCAACTTTCTTCTTTTGTTTTGGCATCTAAAAAACCTATAGTGAAGATTTCTCAGAGATTTAGGGACAAAGCATGGGTTTGACAAAGATGGAATATGAATTTAGAGTTAGGATGTTCAAGAAAGAATTATAAAGATTATTTAAAAGAGTAAGATGCTCAAAGAAACAGCAGACTGTGAATAGCAGTCAAAATATTGTATATTTCCTCTAAACTCATGTTCCATCTAAACTCATGATTCAGGTTCTGACTTAAATAATATTGATTAATCTTTGTCTTATATCATACAGTCCTTCCTTATTTTTCTCAGCTTCTAATCTGAAATGATGTAGGTGGCAGTTTTTGTAGCAAGAGCCTGTAACATATATCCAATTTCATTCATTTTGAACCTGGGCCGAAAACAAAAAATTCCAAAGAACTTTCAACATATGATGATGTTCTCAGGTAAGCTGATTATTTCTACTATGATACAAAAACCTCATTACTAGCTAATACAAATAATATGTTTTATGCCTGTAGTTTTTTAGATTTGTAATTTTTTAAAAGGAACACAAAAATAAACAGAAATATTATCACTGTATTACTTGTTCCAAAGGTGCTTTTTCCAAAAAGCAATTAGACTTTCTTAGGTTTTTTTAAAAAAATGTTTTGTTTCTTATCCAAGAAGATTCTTCAGTTATAACTAACTGGTAGGGATTGGAAGAATTTATATTCTTTGCAGTTATCTGGTTAGTCATTAGCTCTCTGACAGTCATTGAGACAACTTGGGGGTTTATCTGCATCCTAAGAGTCATGTGAATAACAGTGTGGAACCTTCTTGGGACTGCTGAAAGGACTGCATTTTAAACTGGGGATAAGTGGGGTGGTGCCATATCTCTCCCCCTTTATTGAAGGCTGTTCAATTTTAACATGGATGAACTCTGACTCTTCTTTCAAATCAGTGGTCTTCTCTGTCCAGAATGTGAACTTTGCTTCTGTCTTCCTCAATGTATACTACACAGTCCAGGAAGATAATTTTCCTTAAATCATCCTGTGAGAACTTAATGTTGCTGTCCACAAAATTAATATGTTTGAAGGTTTCCATCTCCACAGGAAGATGTTAAGGAAAATAGTTTGGCCTTCCTAGATATTAAGAAAGATAGAAGCTTCAATAATGAAGTATACAGAAAATCCACACAGAGAGATCAGTATTTGATTCTCACCATTCACTGGATTACATACTTGGAGTAATCAGAACCCTATACCACCAGGCTGAAGATTTGCCTACCAGCAAAGAGGGAAAAGAGGAAGAACAGAAACAAATTAAGGAAGCCTTTAGAACTTGTGTTTATCCTAACAAGGCCTTCATCAAAAAGATCACAGCAGAAATTCCTTCATAACACACAAAGAAGAACAAATGGAATAATGTTGTCATACCATGCATTGCGGGAATATCTGAAAAGCTCAGGAGGTTTTTCAGCCAACACAATATACAGGCATACTTTAAACTCAGGAATATATTAGGGAGAAGCTGGTCCACCCCAAGGACAAAAACAAACTGAGCAATGTGTTATATGTAGTACAATGCAGTGAAACATGTATAGACCTATACATTGGAGAAACAAAACAACCACTTCACGAACACATGGCCCAACAAATTCATCAAGATAGGATTCAGCATCTGAAAGACAAAGGTAAGTCCTTTGAAGACAGAAAAGGTCCCATTCTGGACAGAGAGAACCATTGGTTTGAAAGAGGAGTCAAAGAGGCCATCTATGTTAAAATTGAACAGTCCTTTCTCAACAGAGGGGGTGGGATATGACACCACCTATCTCCTCTTTATAACATAGTCTTCTGAGCAGTCCCAAGAAGGTTCCACACTGCTTGCGTTCTGAGTCAGGTGACTCTGAGGAGATAAATCACCAAGTGGCTTCAATGATTCTCAAAGAGCTAAAAACAGACCCTCAGAGTGATAAATCAATTGCCCACCAGTCAGTTAGAACTGAAGAAGCTTATTGAATGAGAAGCAAACGTTTTTTATAAAAAGCCAAGAAAGTCCAATTGTCTTTTGGAAAAAGCACCTTTGGGACAACCATGACCTGGATGATTGAGAATTTCCACAGATACCGTATTCTTTGTTTAAAAGAAGAACAAGTAATGACCATTGTACTTTTCTTGTAAGAAATGGGGAGAAATATGTTGTAGCAACTAAACAGAGCTGCTCTGTGATCAATTGCATTCACTGGGAAGGCTTATTATCATATCCTCTGATGATGATGTGCAATAATAATTTTAATCACTTTTTATTACCCCGTGGAGCATGCCTATTATAAAAGTTTATGAAATGGACTTAAAAGTGGCAGCTCAGTTGAGGAAATGAAATTCAGATGGTATACCATATGGTTGTTTCATCTATATTCTCTGGAGAACAGACTTATTCATTTTGGAGGGTATCTCTCTCATGTTAAAATAATGTCAGATTACCTCTAGCTTTGATGAAATAGTGGCCAGATGAAGTTTCCTTGGATTATAGCATCCTTTTAAATGATGCAGAAATAAGCATGCATCTTTTTTTAATTCACTTCATATTATGTAATTTTCATGCCTACTATAATTATATATTAAGCATGTATATTATATGATATTGAATATCTATAAATTATCAGCATTAGATCGGGTTTTTTATTTGTAAATGTTTTATAGCATCACTCCATCTCTTTATAATTATGTAAAATCTATCTTCATTATTATTCTTTCTTTTCTTTCTGTAAGCTGTTACAATCAAAAATTATTCTCATTGACCCACGTACAAAATACAGTATAAAACAATCCCTATAAAAAACCACAATATGGTAGAATGATGTTGGATAGCACTGTAAAAGACTAGTGAAGAAATGGCATTAAAAGATTATGTTTGGATATGGATGTCCGCATGGAACAATGAGGGCACACATTTTTCAGGAATGTCAACTGTCAGCGAAAAACTTTCACATTTCTTCAGACTTTTAAAAATATTTAGCTTACAAGGCTGATATCACTAGATAATGGCCTATTTATTTTTATTCTAGTTAGGAAAATGAATCATTGAAAAAATCACTCAGTTATTTCAATATTTCAAATTTCCCACCTGTTCCTGATTACATATTGTGCTACTAATTTCAATGGAGAATAGGAAAAAGAAATTGCATGGAGCAACATTCAGCAAGATGAAAGTTGGGTCATAGCGTATTCAAATGTTCCTCCTCTTGCAGAGATTTTTTAAAAAATTACCACTACTGCATTCAGCTTTTGCTCTCTTCTGACACTCCTATTCTTTGAGCAATTAGGACCTTCCTTTGCATTAGGTAACAAAGCACATGTCTGCTTTGTGACACATAGTTTTATATGGACCTAGTGGGGAGTTCAGAAACTGATAAAGCTTGATAAGGAGACAAAGAAAATGTCTATCTTTAAGTGTGCAATTATCAATATTTCTACTTGACTACAGGTAGCTCTCAACTTACACCCACCAACTGAGCCCAGAATTTTGATCATAGGTCATTGTGATCATTAGGCGGCTCAGCATGTGACTTGACTCAATGTTATGACAGTTTAATGATGGTCACAAAGTGAATCACTGAAGTTATTAAATGATTTATGTGGTCATCAAATAATTCTAGCATATTCAATGAGCATTTTTTCTATTTTCTGCCAGTGATGCAGTGACCTTTAAGGATGCTTCATAAGTAGCTTTTTTCAAACTATTGTAACTTTAAACAATTGTCAAGGAATGATTCATTAAACAAGAACTATTATATATCTCATTTAATCTGATTACACAATTACTCAATGAATTAAAATACTCAGAATGGAGGAGAAGGTTATGGAAAAGAGGTACCCCAAAATTTATTTATTTATTACATTTGTATGCTGCTCTTCTTTCCATGTAAGTTTGTTGATTATTAAGTAGTTCATAAGAATGATTGTTTATCATAACATGAGCATTTTAAAATTTGTCTTGTTCTCCCATCAACCCTAAATATTTTACAAAATCACAAGCTTGTAGATGAAGAAAAGTCTCAATCACAATATATAATAGTGTGTATGGAAGTCCATATTTTCTTAATATGTAGCCCTAATAACTGATATTAAAAAATTCATAAGAGCAGAAGGGAGCCTTTGAAAGCAGAAAATGTTATCCTCCAGTTTGTGGAGCTTCTATTATAGCTCTTTTTTGTGAGAAGTGATTTGTATCTAAGGAAGGAATAGACTTTCAGCAGATTTGGGGAGAAAAATGACTGCTAAAATGGTTACAGCCAAAATCATTTACGTGACTCTTTTGGAAAACAAAGACAATGAAATCAAAGTATAGTTAATGTGGAATTTCATAAAGTTTTAAATAATCATTAATAACTATTGGCAGCTAAAGTAAATAAAGATGAATTGATGGATAGATGGTTGGTTTTGGGAAAGATATAATCCATGAATATTTGTACTACAATAACTAATGTTTAAAGTACACCAATATTCTTTGTTATTTGGGAGGTAGAAGACTAAGGACTCCTTTTTCTGGAAGTTTTAATAAATTTTTGTGTTTATAACAGAACAATACTGTAGGAAGAACCATTGGGGGCATGAACTTCAAATTCTGCCTTAGGATGGGGATATCCATGTCATGGATTTTTGAAAGAGGAAGGATGGGAGGATTTGATTGCCTCTGGATAGCTGCTGACAAGCAACTAAATGTTGATTTCATTTTCTTTGTTTTCCAAAAGTATCTGTAATCCATATATAATTAGATAGGGCCTTACTAGGATTATTGGTCATGAGAGTATTTATTTCTGAAAGGTTTCTAAACTATAATAAAATAACATGAAAACAGTGAGACAAAATTTAGCCCATTCTTAGAAGCAAGAGAAGCTAAAACATTCATCTGATTGGGATGAAGTTGTATGGATTCTGATTCTAAAACTCAACTAAATTCTTTGTTAAAATGGTCTTCCTTTAATAAACAAATGTTCACAACTAAATGAATTTAAAAAGGTTAGATAGGGTGCTTAATAAAAGGTTGGTTTTAAGCTATAACATGAAGATGTTTTTGCAATTTTATAATGAAGTTAAAGCTAAACTCCAATACATACAAAATAAACAAAATGGAAAAAAATGATGGGGATGAAGTCTGCTCTATAAATCAGCATTGATCTGTACAATAAATAAGCTAAATGAGAGTCAGCAATATGGCATATTTTACAAAATGAACCCTCATTGGCACTTAATACATAAAAGAAATAACTGTATTCTACACATGGAACAAGCCTTTTATAATACCTATGTTATTGTTCTCTGGAAAAAATATGAAGCAAATTATAATTTCAATGTAACAATATATCTTTTAAATTAAACTAGTAATTCAAACAAGACACTGATATAACTTTATAGATATTTAAGACTTTAAAAAAAGAAGAAAAACCTCCCCTCGTTTTTAGAGGAAGGTAAAACCTAATAGCTTGTTTCTCTAACCAATAACATGAGCTGCATCTAGAAATCCTAAAGTGAACCTTGAATATACAGAATTCTAAGATGAATGCCCATTCAGAAGATAAAATAAAATCACTGAATCTAAATAAACATCAAAGCACTATCAGAATACCTGATGTAATAGTAATTCAAATTCAAATTTTCTCATAGAAGATTTAGAAATCTATTTTTATAAACATGCTGTGTAATTTCAAGTGTATTTATTGCATTCATATTTGGGCTTTATATTCACAAGAAAAGGTGTTTGTATATTTTTAATAGCTTAGGATAAGTACATCACAATAGGTTATGATCATGTGCGTGCTGAAATTGTGCCTGTAATTCATTCACCAAAAGAGCAGATGGCATTCAGGACTTTCATCCATTTTTCCCTGGGACATTGCCATTTATAACATTTGTTTCATTTTTTACTCTTTGACCCGCAGCAAACTAGATAGTCTTCATTCATATTTCTGTGACATTCTTCATTTATAATTAAGCCAATGCTTTCACATGTATTCACACTCCAGTTTAATTTCCCTGAATTAAGCCTTCACTTCTAATTAATAATGTCTTATATTACATAATTAGATTTACTGTTGAATTTTTCTTTATGTTTATAACAAACCTCCTTTTTAATAAAATTAGCACAACACTTAAGTGGTGGAAAAGTTGTGGTCCAATAATGAAAAATTAACCATGTTAGCACAATCAAAAGTCTATGGGCAGCTTAGATGCTAGTTAAACTATTCATGGTACAAAATAATAAAAAAAAAACAAGAATGAAGTAATACAGCCACACATAATGAAAATGAAGATGGTAATATGAAAGCAAAGAATGGCTCTCTGAAAGTACTTTCTTCAAAAGTTTCCAAAACACTAACAAGGATTGAACTAGCCAAATCTCCACAGAGAGGACACTCCAACATCAAGGCTGACACAGAGAAGCAGTGCATCCTGGCTCAACTCTGAAAAGTGTAATCCTCCATGGGAAACAACCATAAAGGCTTTATAGGACAGAATATATTAAATAAGATCCAGAAATCAATTAACAACCAAAGCAAGATTTGCGAAACTGGTTTTATATAGCACCTGCATGTTGTACAACTGCTGTTTCTGAATACTCCTTAATGGCAGCCCCAACCTGGAGTAGATTGCAAGAACTAAAGTAATGAGCTCCATGCTTTATCTTGGCCTTTTTCTAGATTTTTCCATCCAAGCTTTATTGTCTCTCCTGAATGTTTCATCCCTCGTTGGTCACTATACCATCTCTCCCCTGTGTAATTATTTTCTTTCTTAGGACATAATCTGGAATACTCTACATTCTAAAATAAATATATATCTCTAAAACTTGGAGCTTCACTCAAAGGCTTCTTTTTTTACAATATTTTTATGGCCTTTGTCTTCTCTTTCTTTTTTTCTGAAGGTCTACGTGGTGCAATAGCATTTGCACTAGCTATTCGGGACACAGAATCTCAGCCTAAGCAAATGATGTTTACAACTACTTTACTAATTGTCTTCTTTACAGTCTGGGTGTTAGGAGGTGGCACTACATCAATGCTTGCATGGCTCCAAATCAGGTAAGTGTTATTAGTTTATAATTTCTTCTTATAAAAATTGTTTGTTCATCCAATTACTCTTTACTTCTATTCCTTTAGCTATACTCTTTCTTCGTTGGGGGCGGGGTTGTCATATATAAATAGCCATGAATAATTAAAAGGGATCTCCATGTTGGTGGGTGAAGTTCTGAAATATTTTTAAGTATCTTTCCTATTCTTTCTTCTTATTTTTCTGGAGTGTGTATTTGTAGTAGATGTGCTTCATATAAATTAGTCTACTTCAGTTTGGTACCCCAAGATATATTAGGATTAGTACAGTCTCAAAATTTTAAGCTATTTTTATCCATTCTGGTGGTTATTGTGGTTCATTTGAAGACTGCAAATTTGGGAAAGCATGCTGTAAGCTAATACATTTATAGTCCTAATTTTATTCAGCATTGGTGCATCCTGTCAACTATTTCAGAGTTGGATGACAAATACTGTTTTTATTGCATATAATTTTCACATTGCTCATTTAATTTTCTTCTTGCTTCACACATATAACTGGAAACCTTTGATGACAAATCACTATTATTAATTGGTTAATAATTTTCTTTTATTGTTTAGCCAAAACAAATTTAGATTTTTAAAAAGAAAGGTTATCTAATTGAGTTACAGTAGTGTGTGTGTGTGTGTGTGTGTGTGTGTATCCTTTAAGCAAATATATAACTAATATTGCTATGTACCAACATTGCAGCAGTTTGATGCATACTAAATTTCGGGAATAGAAAACCTTGGTTCAATTCTTCTGACAAACTAGAGCTATCCAACATTAGATGCAAAAAATCTAGATGTGGACTAGATAGCAGCAAAGAGTAAAATTTCCAGTGCTTCTATTTGCTCATGATTTAGATTCCAAGACTTACTATGATAACAAAATACAGAATATACTTTGTGGAATCAGTTCCATAGGTTTAATATACTACTAAATATTATACTGGGTAGGTCAGGGAATTTTTAAAACATGCATTTTATGAGGCTTTGATTCCATCCTACCTGCTTTTATGCCAATGAGGACTTTCCTTTAAATCCATCTTGAAAATCTCAGCTTTAGCTAGCCCTCTGCTAAATGAGTCTTAAATCAATCTGACAATGGTGACTCTGATAATCCTGCAAGTTTTTAAATCTGGTTCAAAATTTTGATTATTGATGGTGGATGTGCCTCAGTAGTCCTAAATGTGAAAACAGTGATAAGTCACTTTTTTCAGTGTCATTGTAACTTCGGTAACTAAATGAACTGATATAAGTCAAAGACTACCTGTAATCTTGTCGGGGTTTTAACTCTAGAAAAATTGGAAAATAATTATGATAACAGCTGATGAAAAGAAAATAAGCAAACCTTTCTAAACTCAACCCATTCGTTTCCTTCTGTTCCTGATACTATTAAACAACTGTTGTTGCATAAATCTAACAGTCTTACAGTGATTATAAATGGGAAGACCAATCATCAACAAATCTTCTGTTTGTGTGGAAAAAAGATGGAGAAAGATAATAATACTGGGATAGTAGAAATTACAATTTCTCTGAGTTTTGTTTATTTCTGGTAGCAATCAAAAATTTAGTATTAGCTTGGAACTTTAATGGGATTGTACATAAACTCCATAGACATATTATCATCATTTTCATCTTGTTTCAGCAGATAGAACATATTGTAAAAATGATACATTCACTTGACTTTTCATATTCATATGTTTGAGCAGATATGAGTAGTGTAGAGTAGTGTAGTAAAATCTGACATTGTGATCAGCCTCTGTTTCATTAAATATTTGCCTAGCAAATATTCCAAATGAAGTTGGCTACTGAGCGCAGTGAAGAAAGCTTAGTCATATGCTGTAACTGAATAGCTCTTTAAAAGAAAAGCTCAGAAGCACAGATTCATCTGCTTGGAGAAGATTTCTTTAAAATATGAAATCCATGCTTATTCTCTATATCTGGCAAGCTTAACGGTAGGAATAGTATGTACAAAGCTTCAACAATATAAATCATTCTTTAACAATGTGGTCCTTCCCTGATTCAGAACTAGAGACTGGATGCATTCAAAATCCCATTGAATCAATAGAGAAAAATAGATGGCTGTATGCAGAGAAAAACAAAAATAAACAGGTATTGGAGGGACAATGGTTAACAAGGGGCGGGGTGGACGAAACTGAAGAAAGTCTTCCCCAGCCTAGTGTCTCTTTGATATGTTGGATTTGAAGTCTTGTAATCCTTCAAACAGTTTGAAAAAATCTGGGACATAGAGAAAAGCATTTTTGGGGATGAAGCTATGAAAATTGTGATTACAAGACAAACACAAACATCACTTTTCATTCTGCCCGTAAAGTTGTGTTTATAACTGTCTAGCTCAATACCTGTGCTTCCCTATGAAACTATGTGGTCGGTCTTAGTTTTGGGGAAGAAAATAAGGGGGGGGGGGCGAAATCTGTGTCTGCCTACCACCATCCATCTGTATTCATCTGGTTAGCATCCTGTCATGTGTGGCAGAGTTGAGGGCTGTTTGTGACAGAGTTGAGGGCTATTTGAAACTGAAGCAGTATTTGCTGTGTGAGCAAGAAGGAGACAGCAAGGAGCCTGGGAGTGGCTTAACACAACTGTTCTGCACTAAAGCGGCTTGGTGCTCTGAAACTGAAACTGAAATTCCTCTCTTCTGCTTGTGTTTTGCATGTGGAACAGATTTCTTTTCAGGTGGGAAGGGGGAGTAGAACTCCTTTGCATAAGAGCATGTTAATAATAATATATAAAATACCAATGCTCTGGTGATCATTTAAAAAAATCTTTTCTTAGTGAGTCTAGAAGCCAAAAGGAATATATGTGCGAAATTTCAAGTTTGTAGACTTTACAGTTCTGAAGATTTTGTGATGATGCGTGAGTGGTATTTTGCTTTTATATATATAGAATTACATAGAGACTGCTAGAAGTGAGCACACTAGTTTCTAGGATGGGTGCATTGCCTATTTGTACTGGCAAATGGTTTCCAGTACAGTATAGGAGGAGACTAGCAGTTGGATCCAGCTGTTGTTCAGTGCCTCTTTTACTGAAGGAGAAGTTCCAGCTTTTAAATACTTTCTGGTCCACCCACCCATAAGACGCCAGCCTTCAATATTAATGTAAGAGTGTCATTGTATTTCTAATCTTCTGTTCTCATGGAAGATTTTTGAGAAATTGGCAAGGCTACAGTTACAAAAGCTCTTTTTTCTGGACCCATGACAGTTTACATTCATGCATGGACATAGGAAGGAAGTAGTATTGAACAGTATAGCTTGTTGTGAGGAGTGGAGGGTGGGACTATTGCCATCCTTGATCTGCTGAAAATCAAGATACCATCAAACACAGTATCCTTTTGAATTATCTGCAAGGGTTGAAGACATTGTGGTGATTCTGCTGCAATCTGACTTGAGGGATCCAATTTGTGGTTGAATAAAGGAACCAGGCCCACAGTCACTCCATTATTGCATGTGGAGATGCAATAATGGCTGAGGTCATTCTCCAATCTTGCTTAATTTTTGCATTAATTGAATAGGTAATGTCATGTGTCAGTTTAGGTTTAGGTATTGCCAGTATGCAAATGATATCAGCTATCTATTCCTACTTGAACTGAATAGGACATGAGATTGAATGGTTCTTTATTGCCCATTGAAACTTATATTGCAACTTAAAAACAGTTGTTGAGTAAGACAATAGGATTGTTAATAGGGACACATCCTGCACAGAGTTCTAAAACTGAAACCCAAAGGAAGAAATAGAAAATGAGGGTTTGAGAGGGACCTTGCAATTCCTAATTAAGATAATGTGCCTGAATACCAAGAGTTGTATTTGGTATATAACATCTTAGTGAAATTCTCTATCAACAAAGACATCTAAGTAGAAGAATAGTGTTACAAAAAGGAGAAAGAAGAAAACAGGTGTAAAAAAACATATTTCAATCAAAAGGAAAGGATGGCATTAGAATTTCTTATATAGCTATTTATATTATGTGCTATCAAATCAGTGTCATCTCTTAGAGATCTTATCATTAAAATATATCTGTGAACCAGTGGTGGGATTCAATTTTTTTTACTACTGGTTCTGTGGGCGTGGCTTGGTGGGATGGCAGGGAAAGTAGTAAAATCTCCAATCTCCAATGGTATTTGCCAGTTCTCCAAACTACTCAAAATTTCCCTAGAACTGGTCAGAACCTGCTGAATACCATCTCTGCTCTGAACTCCAGATAAATCTAGCTATTTTATGCTATATTTAAGAAGATATTTAAAAAGTTTAATAGTGTAACGAAGTTAGAATGTGCTTACATGATTGCTTTGTAATTCAACTATTTCTTACCGCTGATTCTATATATAGTTCAAGCTTTGTTTGCTTGTTTACAATAATGTCAGACTGTTGCAATAAAACAGTAGCTGAAAATAACTGCATTGGGAGCTTAGATAAACAGCATGCTGACAAAATCTGGATTGGTGTAAAGAATAAACATAAAATGTCAGCACCCTCATACTATGTATGAGAATTGTATTCCTCGGATGTTTTGATTGCTTTTCTTATCTTCAATGTCAGCCAAGTTCATTGCAATTTGGAAATACAGCTCAAGTGTCTATCATTCTTATCAGATTCACCACAGTTTCATTGGATGAAGCCTATGAGCCATTTCATTCATAGATAGATAATTATACAAAGATTTAGTACCAACAAAATCTCTCAGCATCAAGTAACAGGTTTGCAAACAGTAAAACAACATATAAGTCTTCTGCAAGTAGTTTCAATAAACACATATAAATGTATTTCATAGTGGATTTTCTTCATAGTTGCTCATCTTTTACTATATTGTCAGAAATAATTTTTGCTTTTCAAACTGGAGATTTCAACTGCAAGCTACAATTGTAGCTTTTTCATAATGAACTTTTAAAATCATACATAATTTATTATGAAGTATCTAAATAAAGTATCTTAAAATCATACATAATGAAGTATCTTATTCATATTATTCCCCCCTCCCCAGCGCCTTACGTAGGAAAGACCTTGGGAGACATGATGAAGAATGCTGCCTAGGAAACTGATAAGAGAGAGTATAGCCCCCAGCTGGATAGTGGGTGGAGCAAGAGGCTAAGAAAGTACCTTTCCTAGTTTCTCAGACTGTAAGGAAGATGGCAGGAGAGCTGTACTTTCAACTTGCAAGCTTGTATTAATGTAGTCTTACAATAAGAAGAATTATCTCATTTAATTATGTTTCCTATGTAGTCTGCCTAGGAAGGCTTACACCACCCCAAAAAAACCCTAATAAAAATCCATTCAAGAATTTCTTGTCCTCCAAATTCTAAATATATAAATGTCAGATAAAATGTCCTTGTTTTCTTATGATCAAAAGTAGAATGCATCTAAATTAAAACATCTTTTTTATCATGATAATAAGGATCAACATATATTTGTCATAATTCTGTATGACACATTATCTTTACAAATTTGTGTCCAAAATTTCAATTAGTTTTGCAGTTAGTGTGCGGAATCTATAGCTAATCAATATTTTAAGTTAATGATAAAGGCCTATTACTTATTTAATCAAAAATGAATGTTGGATTGAATTTAAAACTGATTTTTCCTAACAAGATATATTTAATTTTCTTTTGATTAATTGCTTCTCCATAAATATAGTTATGCTATCAAATGCTGATAAGAAGTCCAATAGAATCAAAGCAGGCATACTGCCCTCATATCCGTAGATCCTGTTGAAGTCATCTTAATACTGTTTCTGTCCCATAATTGCATAAATTCAGAACTGAGATCTTAGCTGTGCTAAGTCAGATCAATGTTTAGGGTCAGTGTTTCTTAA